CCATTTTAAAATTGGGTTGGCTCTTTTCTTTTTCTTTTCTTTTCTTTTTTTTTTGGTCTTTTTGAGACAGGGTCTCCCTATAGCCCCAGCTGTCCTGGAACTCACTATGTAGACCAAGCTGGCCTTGAACTCACAGAGATCCACCTGCCTCTGCCTCCCGAGTGCTGGGATTAAAGGCGTGCGCCACCACGCCCGGCTATTTTCTTATTTTTAAAAATATTTTTATTTGTTCTTTGGCAACTTCATACAATGTATCTTGATCCTAATTCCTGCCTCCCCCAGCTCCTCCCATCTCTCTGCCAACCAACTTCATGTTTATCCCTTCATGTTATTCCCCATCCATTGAGTCCAGTACAACTTGCTCCAATTCTCTTGGGTATGGGACCTTCCCTGGATTGTTGTTGCTCTACCAAGGGTCACTCCTTGAAGAAAACTGACTCCTGCTGTCCCAGCAGTTACTAAATGCCAATAGCTCCTTAGCTAGTGGTGGGACATCACCCCCTCCCCCATGTTGGAAGTTTGTCTGGCTTGAGCTGGAGTAGGTCTTGTGCTTCCTGTCGCAAATGTATGACTGCCCTTCTGTCTGGAAAACATTGCTTCCTTTTAGTCATTCCACCATGTGGAATATTTCCACATCCCCATCAACAGCTGTCTAGTTGGAATTAAGGGAACTCATGTGTGGTACTATAAACGTAATCAAATACACATGTCTGGAGAGGTCATAGATCCTAGAGAAAAATGTAATTTCTTACTTTATTGGAAATACACATTTTCATATTTACAGACAAGTGTCCCTTTCACCCCTGATCAAAGAAGCTTCTTTCTGCAACTGATGGAGACTATTTTAGAATTCCAGAACCTGTTATAAGCAGAGAATAGGTATCTCTGAGACACTTAATCCTAAGTGACACATCTTCAATACAACCTCTACACACAGGATGATCCCTCCACTCTCACCAGAGAGGTTTCCTTATGCAGCACGTAGTTTTTAACGCACAAATGCCCAATGCGTAGAGAACAAGAGACTGCAGAGTGCTTAATCCCTGAATAGGACACTTATTTCAAACCTCTGCTTCCTACAACCCAGAGTTCATTGTGGGAAAGGAGGTGGGGAGAGATTATAGGAGTCAGAGGAGGTAGATGACCATAAGGAAATAGAGTCTTCCAGAGAACTGGTCAGTTACTTATATGAACTCACAGCAATGGTGACAGCATGCACAAGTCCTGTGCAAGCTCAAGCCAGACAAAATCCCAGCACATACATGGGGAAATGTGTAAGAAATTTCAGCCCAACCTAAGGATGGGTGACCGAACCTGGTGCCTTGGGGCACAGATTGTGATCTCTAGTTCAGTAACAAATGGAAAGGTCACCAGAAGCTGCCTCCTAATCTTGTAGGGCTTGGCAGCAGCGGCCAATTCACGTGCTTCTTTGCCCAGGCATAAATTCAACTACTGCTGCACAGGGCAGGGGAGAGGGTCCAGGCACACTGTTGGCCCTGGCCACATAATCTGTGGAAAGTAAACACAGAAGGGGAAGACAGAGGGAAGGAATGTACCTACACAATGAGCCTCCTGAGGGAGCTTTCCTGCAGTTTTGCATGCTCCAGGAATGAGGGAACAGTAGTATGTTAAGAGATGAGTTCAGAAGTATTTTGTGCTTACCCCCTGGCTGGTTGAGCCAGCTGTTAGAGCTGAGGATCAAAGTTTGGAGGGCATTTGCTTAAGTTTCAAGGTTCTCATGTCTCAAGACAAAGTATTGCACCGGAGACACATGGTAAGGTGGCAGAGATAGGAATTATTTATTTAGAAAGAGACAGACACTTCTGATAATGGGAGGGCACTAGTGAGCTGGGGAAAAGCACAGGCTCAAAAGCACAGGGCTATTGGGCTCATTTACGTACACCTGCTTCTCTAGCATTTGCATATTGCTGGCTTTTCTCCCAGAATATTTTATTACATGTAGCTCAGGTGGGGAGGGTTTTTTTTTTTTTGTCAATTGGCTTCTTCCATATGTTCATCTTGATATCAGTCTCTAGTCCCTATTCTTCTGACACACCCTCTGGGCCCTTATTTGAGGCTCCAGTTGTAAAAATTTTAACTGACCCACTAGCTACCCTTGTTTACCTTGCTGTTCTCTGCCATAGAAACACCCAGTCCTGAATGCTCAGTTCCATAGAGGTGACCTCAGCCTCTTTCCCTCTCTAACAAAAGGCTTCTATTATTCCCATCCAGGTCATCTCCTCTGACCTCTGCATGGCTCCAGGAAAGGGGATGAATCGAAGCCTGATCATTTGCTCTTATAGAATTTGGTGAGCATCTCTAGCTTCTCCTCCAGCTCCTGGGCCAGCTTCCGACGTGCTTCAGCTGACTCTGACCTTGCACCTTCATACAAATGGTCTGACTCTTTCATAAGGCTGGCCATATCTTTCCAAAGGGAGACACCAGCAGTGGTGGCGCTGCTGAGCCGAGCTTCTCTGGTCATTGCCAGAGAAGTTCCTCTCAAGGAGTTCTGCACCTGTCTAGCACGTTGGGCAGGGAGTCTTCCGGTGGTTGCAAGGATCCTGGCATCTTCTTCTAAGCGAGGATTGGTTCTCACCAGCTTGAGGGCCTCCATGTGCTGCTCAAGGGCTTCCAGATCTTGGATGATATCTTGTGTAGCTTGAAGGAGCTTGTCTGCAATCTTAGTTGGTCTGGTCTCCTTCATCAGGTTCATGCTGGTTGAAGCCTGGTGACTGGCTTTAACTTCATCCCCAAATCTGCTAGTTTCTTCCACAATGGAGGCAGCAACACTACTCACAGTGGCCGCTATTCCCAGCCCCAACCCAGCTGCTGAGAGCACCAGACTACTCTCTGCTGACACTGGTGCCAGAAATAGACCAAGGATTTCCATGACATTAGAGGCAGCGCTGAAGGAGTCAGCCACCATGTTGGAGATGGTGCAGCCACTGTGCATCGCCTCAATATGGTCAGCAAGGGCATGGAGCTTCCTGATGTGTTCCTCAACCTTCACTTTCAACTGAGGAAATGCTTCCAAAAACCTCTTCCTACTCTTCTGGTCTTTTCGAAGCCTGTCTTTGTCCTTTATGGCCAAGAGAGCTGTAAGTTTCTTCAGAGTTTCACGCAGCGCAGCTTCCTCCTCCCTGTAACAGCGGAAGTCAAGTGCATGAGAAAGACAGATTGTATCTCTGTAAAATGGGTCCTGAAAGATCTGTCTATCATAATCTATCTTATAATGATCCAATGGATAAAAATTATAAAGATACATAGAAGTTTTCTTTTGATGGGTAGTGTTTGGAATCTCATAGATAAATTTTGTGGTCCTTAGTAGGAGGTAAGTGAGTAAAAGTCATCTTAAGCACTGGGGAGATAGCTCAGTTGGAAAAGTTCAGGCATGGGGACCTAGGTTTCATGCCCCAAATTCATGGAAAAAAAAAGCCAGACCTGAAGGCATGCACTTGTAATTCCATCACTGGAGAGCTAGAGACAGGTAGGTCCCCAGGACTCAACGACCAGCCAATCTAGCCTACGTGGCAAGTTTGAGACCATTGAGAGTCTCTGAGGAAAATACCTAAGGCACAATAGCTGAGGTTACCTTCTGACCCCCATGTGCACACACACATATGTGCACATGCACACGCACATGAACACACACATGCGTGCACACACATGCACACATTAAAAAGTCATCTTAAGAGGCTTGTCAGTGGCAGGCATTTGAGAAAGATGCCTAATTATTCAAGGTTAATACCATCACTACCAATGTATTTGTGCTGAGACTCTGTAGATGAACACAGGTAAGTGGTATTGAACCCAAAACTTCCAATTCAGGGAGTGTTACTGTGTTGTAAAGAGTTCACCTCTCCAAAGACACGCCTCCCTTTGCTCATAGCTGTTGGAAAGTCATCCTTGCAGGAAGGTCTGTGTTTGCCTGGGGACTTGTCAGGCAAAGGCTTTTGTCTCATGAACCTTACAATATGAGTTTGATCCCCAGAACCCAAATAAAGGTGGAAGGAGAGAACTGACTGCACAAAAGTGTCCTCTGACCTCCACATGCCTGCCACAGCACATGTGAACTCCCACACACATACCAAACACTCTCGCAATATAATAATTAATTTTAAGAAATGAAATGATCCTGTTTCCTATGGACACCATCTCCCCTCAACCTGAGTCAGTTCTCTTTCAGGAAATGATGTGGGAGGAATATTCCTGAAAGATTGTTGACAAAGGGTTCCCTGAACCCCTATCTCCTAGGACTCTCTGGAGAGGATGTGCCTGCTCAGAGAAAACCGGCCATGCAGGGGTTCTGGGGGCTGTGCTGGCGCATTCCATGGAGGTGACCTGGGCAAATTGGCCTTAAGTATAAATGCCTCCCAGGCTTCATCTTCAGTCAGCAGGTGTGTCTCTCTGCCTGCTGTGTCCTGCTCGGTGGTTTCCTTGATGAGTCTTCTGATCACTAATTGGGGAAAAAAAAAATGAGGTTATAGACAAGGTAGATGAGCTTAAGTGGTATTGGGTATAAGATTTTTGAAGGTCATTTTCTTGAACACCTGTCACGTGGGGCAATTTTGATGGGCTCACCAGTGTTGCAGACTGAATTGTGTCCTGCTTCCTACGCAAAAGCCTTAAGTCCTGTGATTGTATTTGTAGAGAAGGCTTTTACAGAAGTAAAGCAATTAGAGATGAAATGATATCATAAATATACCTTAACCCACAGCATGATCTCTCTCTCTCTCTCTCTCTCTCTCTCTCTCTCTCTCTTGCTCTCGTTCTCTCTCCATGCACACAAGGGAGGCCACATTTAGACATAGCAAGCTGGTTCCCTCTGTAAACCAGGAATAGAGCCCTCACCAGAAACAACCTGCCATTCCTTCATCATAGACGCTGGCTCATACATAGGAGATAAAACACTTTCTTTAAGCCTCATGTTGCATTAGGGCAGGGAAGCCAGGAAGACTCATATACCAGGGAGGTGCTATATTTCCTTGCAGGGAAATGAGCTCAAAGCAAACAGAAAATGAACGTTCAGCCCTGGGAAGATGCTGGTTTCCTCCATCATGAGCCTCTTGCATGTCAAATACTATGACACCAGTGCCTTTAAATGTGATATCTGAGTATACTGAATACAATGAGGGTGCACGTTCGTTCTGTGGTTTATTTTATATATACAATGAACATATCCATGTGGATTGCTAAGCCCAAAGGACATGTTTTCAACAAGATTACTGGGGAAATATTTCCTCTGTAATGGGAACTGTTGAGTCTCCTCAGACAAATTACATACAACAGGCAGGGAATCATGCTAATTTTCAAAGTTGTGACTAAGTCACATACCCTGCTGTCCTCCACATCCTCAGCCTCTCCTGGTCAAACCAGAGGACAGGGTAGAGAGAAAGTAACTCCTGCTCATGTCTCCAAGATACAGTAAGGAAGGGGAGCCCACAGACCCAGGGTTGGGCTCTCTCTTGGGTCCTCCATGGTGTCTACTCTCAACTGCTCAGCAATCACTCACTGTGAAAGTCCCCAGACCTAGATTGAAAGCAGGAAACATACTGAGCAGAGGATCCTGAATATCTTGGGAGGCCATGGAGGCTTCTGGATCTTTGGTGTCAGTCACAAGATCTCTGAGAAGTCTCCCTTACAGCTTGATGGATATGCAGTCTGCAGGGAAGAGAAAACATAGTGTGGGATTGAGTGGGGTCAACTGCAGCAAACAGAGGAGACCAGGGATGTGTTGCCCCACAACTTCCCGTAGGATGGCTTCCAAGATCAAAGGAACTTAACACAGAGGGCTTGTCTTTTCCTGGCTCTGAGGCTTCTACAGAAAGAAGTCAGTCATTTGGCTCTACCCCCTCTCCCTCACTCTAGAGGTCGCCTTACCAGTAGGGTCCAAGGAGAGGGTGATCAGCTGAGGACACAATTGTGCAAAAGAATCAGATTGCTATACAAAAAGAGAGCTAGGGAAGAATGTTCTAGCAACTCCCTGCTGGTGGGAAATGTGTGTAGCAATGCTATAGCCGATACCAGTTGAAGCAGTGTGTGCACAGGGCTGGGATCCCAACTCAGGGCTTGTGGCTCTGTGAGGAGAGGAAGAGAGCCCTGAGTGTGCATGCTCATTCTATCAGACAGCATGACTGCCTCTTGCATGGTGCAGCAGAAGGGGCCACCAAAATCCAAAGCTGGAACCTGGGCCATGCTCTATGACTTCCCAGCCTTTTACTGTGAGATAAGTAAATACCTATTGTTAGGGTTTGGACCCACAGCAACTCTCTCCTCCAATGCAGCCAGGCCCCATGGGCCCCCCTGAGAATGCAGATGAGCACCCTGGTCTTTGGAGTCAAGAGAAACAGACTTTTCTGCACCTTTTGACTAAAGGCAGCTTGCTTTCCCTTTGATAAACAGACTCCACCTTTTGACCAGAGACCCCAGGAGTCTCTTCAGCACAGCAGGCTTTCCCGTTGATGATCTTAAAGCGTAAACAGACACCTCTGGACCCAGAACCTGGCTGGGATGCAAGGGGGCGGTTTTTTAACAGAAGCTGTTCTGATAAGCCCAGGGTTCCCGCTCCCCCACACCCCGCCCAATTTTTAAAAATATATTCCCGCCTTCTGCAGCAACCTATAAAGACCCCAGCCTATGATCTGTGGGCTGACATTTTCCCTGCCCTGAGGGACTTGTCCCGTGTGAAGTTTTCTTTGCTAATAAACTCTGTCCTGCTGGAGATTTTAATCTGTGTCCTGGTGCTTTCTCCCGATTGACCCGATTCACCTATCCACTTCATCTATCACCTATCTTTGTAAATCATAGCTTTACAGTATTTTGTTATAGTCACAAAAACACACTGAGACACACTGTGTTTTTCAGAAAGAATGAGTGTGACTTCTTTGCCAAGTACAACTTTGATGGATCTTGCCACAGGCCTCTTTCTCCATAGACATGGCTTTCAGAGACTACCAGGCACAGGGCTGCAGCACACTTTCTGTAGCACACATCTAGATACTCCTCCAAGCCACCCACACAAAGCTCTGATCCTAAAGCAGATTCTTTCTAATGCCCTCATCTCCATGGTGAGGCTTCTCCATCACCAAGAATAACCTGGACAAGCTCACTTGATGGCAGAAGTGTCCCTCAAGGCTTGGGCTGGAGGACACCAACTCTATAGACATGTTGCTTCTGTCACGTGAAAAGGAAGGAATGAAGTAGTGAGGTGTCTCTATTAGTGATAGGGTTCAGGTCCAGGAGACCCCAGACCCAGAAACCACAAGGTCCCTAAGAGGAACTGAGTCAGCCAACTCCCAGCCACCCGAAAGCTGACAAAAGCAGCTCCGGGAATTGGTGACCAAATGCATTGTGATCACCAGAGCATGCTCCACAGGCTGACACACAGGTTTCCCAAGCCCTATAAGCTGCAATGAGTTCCTGAAACCCTGTAATTGTAGAAAACATGTTTTACAGTAGACATTTTCCTCCATAAGTTTCACCAGGTATAAACCCCCACACCCTTCCTGAACAGCCCCCCAAACAGCCCCAAACAGCAGAAAAAATTCTTTATTTTCCACATTCTTTCCTTTCATAAGCCACCCCACCACAGCCATTAGATTGCTGTTTCTTACTCACTCCCGAGTTGAGACCCAGCCCCACCAACCCATTAAACTCTCACTTTGCCAGAGTCCTCTCTGTTTCTGTTTCATGACAATCCTGACTCCTGCCACCTTTTTATCTAACAGTTAGGGCACCCCAAATTATCCTTTTCATTCTGAGCTATAGCAGCCTTAGACCTTCTCTGATAAATCCATGTCTAACTGCTCAGATCAAGAGGAATGTGGTTTCAAAAGCCCCAGATGTCTGGCCACCCAGTGCAAAAGTCACTCCTGTCCTTTCCCTCAGGCTGCCCCTTCTTCTGAGCATTGATTTTACTCAAAAATGAGTATTTAGACTTGGTCTCAGCAACCAAACCCAAGGGGCAGGCTGCTGAGGGATCTTGCTGTAAGGAGAGTTGGCTGTCCCTACCTCTTGTTTCCTGCTTCACGGGCTACCAGACCCCAGAGGCTGTCAGGCAGACAAACTGGAATACTGGGTGACCCTACACTTTCTTAAAGTGTCTACACCATGGGTCTCATTCTTTTGTGTCAATCTGATCTAGTGGTGTGAATCAGTGATAGAGCATTTGCTCAGCATGCACAAGGCCCTGCGGTTGACACCCAGTACCACAAAAATAATTAATTAATTAGTTAATTAATTAGCTCTTGTTATAGTTGCATTGAACCCTCCTTCCAGTTAGCTACACAGTGAACCTCTTGAATGAGCCGTTTCCTGGTAAGGTGCCCAGCTGGAATGCAGATGTTTCCTGTCCTTCTCTGCTCCTCACCAACTGGAAGCCCAGGCTGGGAGCCCCCCTTCCAAGCTGTGCCCAAATGTGGAAAAGTAGAGGCTTGCAGCAAAGCCTCACTTCTCAGAGGCTGCCTGGCATCTTCCTTGGGCAGAGAAATAAGAATCAGGGCTACATGCTTTTCCTGAGACTCTTTTATTCTCTCCCGGGGTTAATTTTGAGCCACTTCTCCAGGTACATATGCCTTCCTGCCTGATGCAGCCTCCCCTTATTGCCCCCTCCCTCATTATCCCCCACCCCCAGGCACCTTCCAGTGTTCCAGGCTGCTGGGCTCTTCCCTCACATGGAATATTCTCACCGTCCCCACCCCCAAGTGAGGCCCTCAAGGCTACCACCTCCTGCTGGCCTCCTTAGTCCCTCCCAGTCTTGAATGCCCTGCTTTCCTAAGGACATTTCTCTCTGTTACATTTGCCCAGCACCAGTGCCCCTGGATGACCCCAGCAGCATCCTAGTGCTGGTGTCAGGATAACCAAGTTGGTTTCATCTTCTTGGGCCCGGTTTGCCCCTAGTCTGGCCTCTGGGAGGTATTCATCAGACATAGAGTCATCAGAGTTTGAGAACACCGCCCCACTGAAACAAAGAGTGTGATTAAAAATATATATAAAATTTCAAAATTTCCAGGATATTCTCAGCTTCCACATACATGGGACTCCCCGACCCCCACAAACATAGTCTGACCTTTTACTTTGTGATTATTACTCAGCTAATGCTTCTGTTTACATGGTTTCATTCCTTTTTCCCCACACTGGCACCCTTCCCTATGAATACATAGGACAGCCTGTCTTCCTTTTCCATCCTGCATAGGCTGAGCAGAGGTCAGGGGAACCTCCACGGGAGGCATTGTGAGGAGGGGCAGAACTTGTATGTTCTCCATCTTACCTAGCAATCTTCTCCTGTGTGAATTTGAGCAGGATGCAGTGGTCCTTAGCTGTGTGGATCCAGTCACCAGCTGCACATGAGTCAAAGCAGACACGGGCTCCAGCTTAATATACCCAGGCACCAGAAATGGAAACCGAAAGTCTCAGCTTCTGAGCAGATCATGACCCAACCTACACATCAGAATATCCACTTCTAGAACACCACCACCCAGAGTCCCACCCACATTGTCAACACACACGGGTGACCTCAGCTCAACCTTCCAAGTCCTTCTCCAGCTGACTCATCTCAGTTGGGGGTTCTCCATGGTCTTCAGGAAGAAAGACCCATGACCAAAGACTGTGGGACCCACCACAGATCACTCCTAGCACCTCCCTGCTGTGTTCAGCCTCAGCACTCTCCTAGTACACCTGTCCCCAGCGCCTGCACCTTAGCACAGTTTCTCTGTCCCACAGTCTGTTGATGATAGTGCTGCTGCTACTGAGGATGCTGGGAGCAATGTCTAGGCATCTGCCTATGCAGGTTCTTCTTCCCAGAGCTCCTTCTCTGCACTTGGAACCAACATGGCTTGCTTCCTCTCAGAAGCCCTGAGCGTCCTCTATGGCAGACTCCACTGTGTCCTGATTGTCTCCCATGGCACTTTGAGGGGGTGGGCCAAAGTCTGCTGCTTAGTTCGAAGTCTCACGTCTATAACCTTTGGCAGCTCAATGGCTGTGTGATATCTCTGCTTTGCTCCAGGAAGAAGGGGCATTGAGTAGGGGTGAACCCCAGGGGCCTACTGACCCTTGCGTCAGGACAGATTTTATTCCGTACATTTGTCTTTGGGACTTGATAGCCAACCCCTCCCAGTGTCTGAGGGAAGGACAGCAGATGACGCAGGATCTTCACATTACTGCTGGAAACTCATTTACTTTAACATTTGACTGGAGTTCTATAATCATTCCTTGCAATCTAAATCTTTCCCTAGTTTTCAAATCAATATGTAATTATTGTTGATACTATAGGGAGTGTGCTGTGAGTTTTCAGGTGAGAAAACTGAGGCAATGAGGGAGGCAGTGGCTTACATCTTACAATTCGGGGACTTGTCAAAACTCATGCCAAGTTCCAGCATTAGATATTGAACATTTGAGACTATATTTGCTTCTTTTAAAGTTGTGCTGGGGACTGGAGAGATGGCTTTACAGTTAAGGGCACTTGTTGCTCTCTTTTTTAAAAATAAATTATTTATTGAGAATCTCATACATGCATATAAGGTGTTTTGATCAAATCCATGCCCACTCCCTCCCCTCTAACTCCTCCCATACCTCCCCATCACTTTTTTTTCTGATAACTTCATGTACTCTTTCTTCTTTGATTTATTTACTTTTATGGGGCTTTTGGCTACTCTTAACATTCCCTCCTCTGAAGAGGTAACCTAAAATATTTTAAGGATTAAATACAAGCTCCCAAATACTTTCAACATTTTTGGCCTTTGGAACAGAGTATGTTACTAAGAGGCCCAAGGACATTTTGACTTTTAGCCAAGAAACTGGCTACTTTTCTTTGGGGTCTTTTTACCCTAACTGCCTAGCCAATTCCTACCTTCTATTCTTATCCCACCATCCTCTGAAGAGGTTACCCAAATTGCCAATAGGGAATTAGGATGCAGACTGCTCTGGCTTCTTCCATGCTGAAGAGGGATGCAGGGGGAGGCAATTGGAGTACCCCTTCAGTGGGTTTATCTAAAAGACTCCCAAATTGCATAACTCTTATCTGTAGAGGGAAAAGAAAGTCCTTGAATCACGAATAGGAGATGTGAAGGAGAAGTAAAGGCATGAGTAATTAGCATGACAAGTTCTAGACTGTTGGGGGACCCTGCTGCTAAGGTTGTAGTCCTCCATGTCTGGATAGCTCTAAGGGGCTCGGCGCTATATGGAGGAAATCCCTTTCTCAGTGGGGGGCCTCCTGCTCTCTGCCCGACTTACCTGGAAAATGCTGCCAAGCATGGATGCCTGACCTTATTTGGAACATGACCTTTGGCATAGTTACCTGCAATAAAACTGCCCCCAGGTTTTTTCTATATGATAATTAGGCATTGCCCTATAGTCGGATGATAGGATCCCCCTGCCACATGTAAAGAAAGCATACTATGAGCACCTATCAGCTGAGGCTTTGGCTGCTGCCTCCACACTATATTTTCCCTGACCCCCACTGAATAAATGGAGATGTATCATTGAATCTGCCTCACCTGAAAGTCTTTTTCCATCGTGCTCACTGGCCTTCCTGAACCCGTTTGTTGCTTCTGCTCCCTTTGTCCTCGTGGATCAGTGGCCAATGACCCACGAGGGGAGGGAGAGACCCACACTAGACAGGGAACTAGAAAAAACTCAGAACAGGGCAATTTTCAAATATTCATATCAGTCCATTGGAATTTCTTGACAAGGGCTTCCCAAAGCATCCCTCTAGTGGGTTCCTCCTCATTTTTCTTTTGTCCTTTAAGGCTGGACTCTAGAGTGATGGATTCAGGATTTGCTTTCAGGCATTTTGATAGCTGTTGGAGTGGTTAGAATCAGTGTCAGTTCCCTCTCAAAGGCTTCTAGATGGGGGGAGAAAACAAATTTATCCATCATTTTAGAACAATAGCTGATTGTCTCCCTTAGCTACAGGTGGGCACTACAGTATTGCAGACCAAGATTTGAAGTCTTACATCTGAG